GGATCCCCCGTGTCGTGTCTGACTCCCAGGGGCAGGGTTGACTCCAGGCGCTTTGGGAAGCCGGAGCACACAGCCATGAGGCACACCACCTGCGTGGAGCTGTGGTGATGACAGCCAGGAGCCGGGGGCTGGAGCCTGGCTCCCACGGTGACAGCATCACTGCGGTGCTGACAGCTCTGTTCCATAGCCATGGCATGGGGACCTGGGGCTCCTTGATGCACAGCTGTGGGCATGGGGGCCTGGGCTCCTTGCTGCACATGTGCAATGGCACCGGGCTCAGGGAGCAGGGCAGAGAGGGGACACATCCTCCACCGCTGTCCAGATGGAAGCAGAACCAGGGTCCATGAACAGGCTGCCGGGCGCCCCGCCTGGTGCCTTTTCTGATCTGCGGGCTTCCTGGCTTGGCCACCCACTCTCACAAACGCATCCCTGGGGCCACAGTCACTGCCCCAGGCTCCTCCTGGGTCCTCATGAAGTAGTAACTTTCTCTACCTGACCTCAGAAAGCAGATGGGGCTCGGGGCTGAAGAAGCCCCAGGCCCCTGCTCAGGGCGCCCTCTCTGCCTGGCCCCAAGCTCGGTTTGCTAAAAGTGTGAGATTTCAGGGTGGGGTGGGGTGGGGTGGGGCATCGTCAGCATCTTCAGTCCCCAACAGAAGCCCCCCGGGTCGAGCCGGAGATGGGGTGGGGGACCCTCACCTTTCAGCACTGTGCAGCAGGAGGGCGCCGGCAGAGTCCGGTTTCCCATGGAGGTTGGGAGGGAATGGGGAGAGCATTAAATCCCCTTCCCACCTTGCCACACCCTGACCCTGAGCCCAGGCATGGGGGAGCCGGAAGGTGCACTGTGCCCTGCTAATGTGCTCCCTGGAAGGGCTGCGCCTCTCAAGTCAGGACCTACAGGGCACCTGCCACTCAGGGTAGACACCCCTCCCTGTCCCCCAGCCCTTGGGACACACAGGAGGATTTGGCCAGCCGTGGTCATCACAGCTCATGGGAGACTGAGGTGCTCCTTCTCAAGCAGGGGGTGGCCTGGCGCCCCTGCACCCCCGCTCTGATCTGGAACCCACAGGCAGCTGTGGCGGAGGCGGAGGCAGAAGCCCTGAGCTGGGGACCGGGTCACAGGTGCACACCCCGCCTGGACAGCTGCAGAGCCGGTGCCAGCTGGGATCCCGACCTCACCCAGGGTCACATCTGCTGTCTCCCCCCGCCCACCCTGCTGTCTAGGTCAAGAGCAGGGACTCACAGTGGACTGGTCAAGAGACGTCGCCAGAGCCGGCAGGCAGCGCGGGATACAAGGGAAGAAGACAGCGGTCAGTGTCGCCGACCACCCCGGCTCAGTGGTGGCCCAGCACCTCCCTCCCTCCACCCGCAGGGTGCAAGACAGGACTCCGGGGTTGTCGGGGACCAGGGGCTGTGCCCCAGCGCCAGTGCCCATACTGACAGAGGCAGCGGGTCTGCAGATAGCGCAGGGTGACAGAAGCCATGGACAGGCCCAGAGCCCAGAGCCAGGTGTGAGAGGCGCCCATTGCCCTCCAGGCCCCCGGAATCCATCTGCTCCTCCCAGCCCCACAGTGCTGCTGGCACCGGGCTCCCCGACTGTAGGCCCCACGCCCCCTCTGCATGGCGTCCCCTGCCCCAGCTGCTCTTCCTTGGAGCACCGATGGCTCCCAGGAGCCACACGGGACCCAGGGACCCTTGATGCAACACAGGGGGCAGGGTGGGCCATGTGCAGACAGCACCCTGGTTCCCATAGGGACCCCAACCTCAGTACCACAGAGGGTGCTGGATATGACCCACAGACAGAACAGCTGATCCGGGCGGGAGAGCCGGGACTCAGGTCCAGGGAGACACAGAGCCTTAAAAGCAGGCTCTTAGAGAGCCGGGGTTCAGCTCAGCAGCACAAGCACTGCCTGGTAAGCACAAGGTCCTGTGTTCGATTCCCAGTGCAAAGAAGAAAGCAAACTCTATCTGCATAAGCTACCTCTGGGAGGAGAGGACCCGGCCCTTTGGAAAGGATAAGGGGTGAATCAGTGGAGACTAAAAAGTTGTCCAGCATAGCCTTGGGAACATCTGAATTCTGAATTCTGGAAATCTTCTATTAAATGGAAGTAAAATATTTTATATTAAATAACAGATCCTAAAGTAAGTAATGACTAATTCAATTTTTTTTTCTTTTGGAGACAGGGTCTCACTATGCCCTTCAGGCTGGCCTTAGGGTCACTTTGTGACCCAGGCTGGTGTTGACCTCACAACAATCCTCCTGCCTCAGCCTCCCGAGTGCTGGAATTACAGGTGTGAGCCACCACACTTGGTATCGATTGAAATGTTATTGAATGTTGGTGTGATATCTTAAATTGTTAATTTGAATATTAACAAAAGAGTAGCAACATAAATGCCAGGTTTACAGGGGTGGGTCCCCAGTCTCATCTGTCAAGAGAGATTTGCAATGGGAGAAATGCCTCTTTCCTCACCAAACTGTTTTTGAATGGAGAAAAATAATCATTTTATGAAAATGGCTTATTTATGTTACTGTGTTCTGTGATTACTATCCTTATTTTTAAACAAAGCAACACATATTTTAGCAATATGCTTCCTGAGATATAATCTGTTTGGTTTTTTTTTTGTAGCAGGACTCGAACTCAGGACCTTGCCGTTGCTAGGCAGGCGCAGTGCCTCTGAGCTCTCTCCCCTGGCCCTGAGATATAATCTGTATGTCATGCAAGTCACCCGTCTGGGTGGCTTTCATGCAAACCCTATCCCCTTTGGCTCCGCTCTTCAATTCCTGGCTCCCAGCCCTGGTCTCCACGAAGCCCCACTGGGTTTCAGTGGAGCCTGGGTGCCAGGATTAGAGGACACACGGTCCCTAGACAGGTGCCCCTCCCAGGCTGAGGCTCCCGGGCCTACACAGCCAGCCACACAGGCCGGCTTCCTCTCCACCGCTGAGTAGCGTCCCTCGGGGGCACTGGCCTGGCTCTTGGGGCTCTAGGTACGTGTGTGTGTGACTTCTGTGTGGACTCGGTTTCCCTTTCTCTCATGCCTGTGCCAGGGGTGGGCTCTCTGGGAGCCTGGACATCAGCCTCCCCAGGAAGGGTGGACTGACCAACTCCTGAAGTGGCTGCGCCCTGAGACACCACCCGCAGGACAAGAGCCCCGAACCCTCGCACACTTGCTGTCCTGGCCCTGCTTCAGCAGTCCTGACCTGCGCTGTCCTGGCCGCTGGGCCATTTGCATGTGTAGCTATTGTTAGGTAAAGATGCTCGGTTTACAGGAAGCATTATGTGGACTGTCCACTCTGGCAGGACAGCTCTTCGGGCCCTTTGGCCACCCTTCCCTGTAAGCTCTCTGAGTGCTCAGTGTGCATACAGCGTTGCCTGCTGGCCTGGCTGCCCTGATGCCCAGGGGCCACTCTGCCTGCAGCAGCAGGAGGAGCGGGGTTCTCGGGAGGCAGGTGGCAGCTGCCACCATCACCAGTCATCCTCTGACCACAGGACAGGGCACCACCCACCCAGGACTCCCATGGGTGTCTCGGGGTGCCAGCTCGGGCAGCCACGGGTCTTACTTTTTTCTTCAACTGCACCTGGAGGTGAAAGCGGCCATCATTCGGATCCCAACAGGCTCAGGGAGCGAGGAGAGAGTCAAGAATCAGACTCAGCACCAGCACGGACCGGGAGAGCCAGACCCCGAAGTCCCGCTAACCCGCCCACATCTAGGCCCTGCCAGCCACCCACCCACCTGCCCATCCTCCACCACCACCCGGTACCCTCCTCCCGCATCACGCAGCCACCCACCTCCCCTCTGTCCACCCTCTGGGCACTGCCTGTGATCAGTGCTGGATGCAGGGCCCAGGTGAGTCCTGCTGTGCAGGCTCCTGGAACCTGTGATGGGGGCATCACAGCCGCCCACAGTTAGGTCAGAGCTTGTCTAGAAGAGTCTGTGGCCCTCAGCCTCCCACCCAGCAAGGACTAACTAACTGAGACCAAGCACTGTGGTGCCCCAGATGCACAACCGCGACTGAGGGCCAGGGAGCCTCCGAGCAGCCCAGTTGCAGGAAGAACATGGAAAGTGGGAACAAAGTCCCCTGGCTGTGACAACCAGCGTGTGCCCCTTGAACATCCTCACCCCCAAGTTGGCCTCCACCTCAAGGACCCAGTGTCTCTCTCAGGAGCAAGGCTGACGGGGCACGACCCCACACACATGTGCACACAGACTCATACCCAGGCGCAGACGCGTGCACAAACACAAAACTCCCCAACTGAAACCCCTTTAGCTGCTTCCTTTCACCCTCAGGTAACATTCAGAATCCCCTACCCAGCTTCCAAGACCCTGTGAATCCTGGTCCCTGCCTTCTCCCACTCTTCCTTGTACGTGTCCCCACCTACCATGTGCCTCCCCCCTCCTCCATCTTTTGCCACTACAGCTGCTCTTGGTGCCTTGAAGGCTCTCGGGGACTTCTGCCCCAGGGCCTTGGCACATGTGGTTTTGTCTCCCTGGAAGAGTCCCCCCTAACTTTGTAGCTCCTGCTCCTCGCTGCACCGTGTGTCAGATGTCACTGTTCAAGGGACTTTCTCTGAGTCCCTGGACTAGACTATGCTTGTTCGCTTAGCATGAGAATCTCCTGAAGACAGAACCATGTCTGTCTTTTTCCCTGCTGCCTTTCCATGGAGCGGAGGGAACCAATCAGGAACTCGAGTGAGAAAACGGGGGCTCGAGACTCCTCCCGGGCATTCTCTGGGGTCCCAAGGAGCCTCTGACCATCGTTCTCTTGGCCTCAGCAACACACAAGCGTCACCCCATCGAAGATGACAAATGTCAGCCCTCAGAATGAGGGCTTCCCGACCCCAGAGGAGGATGGCCAGGCCCAGTGAGGCTCCGGAGTGGCAGAAGGCCTGGGAAGCGCTGGGCTGCAAGTCTTGGGGTGCATCCTCAGGGCAGGGCTGCCACCCAGACCTCCCCACCCTGCCCGGGAGAAGGAGGAAGTCACCGGGCGTCCAGAGCAGTGTTACCTTCCCGAGGGACACAGGCTTCCACCCGGCCCAGGAGGACCAGGGTCACCAGTGCCAGTTTTGCAAGCAGCTCCAGCCTGCACATGGCTGCAACCTCGGCTGGAACCCACAGGACACTGGGCCCCATGGGCCAGGCTCTAAAGCAAAAGGGCTGCCCACGCCTGCCCTCAGGCAAGCCAGGTGCCACTCCACCAGCCGTGACGGAGGAGCGGCTTCTCCCGGGGGCGACTCCTACACTGCGGACAGTCGCACACCACACCCCATGGTCGCTGACCCATGACACCCAGGCCAAGGCTGTCCACCGGCAAGGACCCGTAAGGGGGTGGGGGAAGGACAGATGGAGGCTCTCGTGACACATGCAGCCGCCCGGGGCGTGGGAGGGGGAGCTGGGTCGCTGTGATGAGGACACCTGACCCACAGAGCACGCAGTGCTGCCGCTGGCCCTTTGCGAAGGAAGCTTGTGGGACCTCAGCCCAAGCAAAGGGGAAAGCAGAGACAGGACGGAGAAAGCCCAAGCCACAGCATGGGGTGGGGAGTCACCTCTTCACCTCCTTTATACACAGTAAACATGCGCCACATGAGCACATGACACATGTGCCCGGGCTGCCACCTGTACCCATGTCCATACACACATGGGCCCGCACGCGCTCCCTTGAGAGGGCTTAAACTGCTGCTGCAGTTATGCACACACTCGGAATCCCAGCATCCAGGAGGCTGAGGCAGGAGGATCGCTGCAGATCAGCGGAGTTACGCCTAGCCGGAATTACATCTAACTGGCTTTAGCTACAGCGTGACAGAAGCTTGGGGGTCGGGTAATTGCAGGACAGCTCACAACCTGGAGCCTCTGGAGACAAAGGGTGCGGTGGCTCTCGGAGGAGAAGGGTACCCTACCGAGTGAAGCGGTGGTGGGGACCCTATCACTGAAAACTCTGAGAGGTCTGCCATCACCAGGCAGGATGCCACACACTCCCCTCCAGGGCTTGGGAGGCTGTGGCGGGAGGGTGCCCGAGAGTTCCAGGCCAGCCTGGGCTGGTGAGTGGCAACACAGTGGCTTGCACGGCATGGCGCACACTGGGCCTCCGCCAGCCGAAGCTGACCCAAGGAGCGCGGGTATGGCAATGCACGCCTGTCACCCCAACACTAAGGGAGGCTGAGGCGGGAGGACTGCAAGCGGTAGCCGCTTGAATAACAACAACTTACTGAGACCCGTCTCTAGATAAAAATAAAAATAAAAATGGGCTGGGGATGCAGCTCAGTGCAAAGGGCCCCCAGTACCACCGAAAAGTAAAAAATAGTACGACAGCCGACTCCTCGGCCACACGCAAAGACTCACACACGCGTGTGTAGTACACATGCGCACAAGGGCCATTGGGAGCGCGCACGCGGAACATGAAAACTGCCGGGGCAGCGCCCTCGCCTCCTGCACTGCATGCTGCCTTCCGCTCCCGGAGCAGGGGTACAGGTCAGACTGTGCCCCGACTTTCCCGGAGAAGCAGAGGGCAGGGCTGCGCAGATCCGGGGCGAAGTGGGGCGCCCCCACCCCTCCCCCAACCCCCACACCCCCTGCAGTCTAGGCAGCCGGGTCTGATGGAGGGGGGGCTGGAGCTTCTGCTCCCCTTCCCACCCCGCACACAGGCGCGTGTGCTCTTCCCTTGCACATGCACTTGCACTCCCACGCTCCAATGGGGGAAGGGGAGCCCAGGTCCCAGGGGTCTTGCGGGGGCGGGACACGGCTTTGTTTTCTCATCTTGGTTAATTCTAGGAAACAAAAAATGCTCTTCCTGGGGGCTCAGTGGCTCCTCCCTGACCAGGCGAGCCTGGATGGCAGCGAGGAGAAATAGTAAGCACCGCATAGGCCCGCTGTGCAAAAGCGGGGCGCCAGGCCCGGCTGCAGGACACTCAAAGGAATTTGCAAATGGACTCCTTAATTAGCTTTGCTCGTTTATTTTTATTTATTTTCCGAGCCGGGGTCTCACTGCGTAGCCCAGGCCTGGCGCCAGCTCCTGACCCTCCTGGCCTCAGCCTCTCCAGCTCTGGGAGTGCAGGCGTGCATTCCTCGACAGCACTCTAATTAGCTTTGGGAGCTTACTTGGAAGGAAAACTTCACCCACCACACAACCCTGGAAATGAAATCTAAAAAGGAAACACGAGGAAAAGGCTTTAAATTGCAGTCCTCAATCGCTAGAACACACCTATAATCCCAGCATTCTGGGAGGCTGAGGCAGAAGGCTCAGAAATTCCAGTTTCACCTCGGCAACACAGATTTGAGACCTTGTTTTGAAATAAAAAATGTAACACGGCTGCAGGAGGAACTCGCGCAAAGGCCCTTGCTTCAACCCCCAGGCAAAAGACGAGAGAAACCCACGCACAGAAGTACACCCTGAGGCCCCAGCAGGGTACACACACAGGTCCAGCGCCAGGACAGTGCGTCCTCCCGGCACCACCCCCGTTCAGAGAAGTTTGTGTTCCATCAAAGTCCCGCGGGCAGCCCAAGCCCACCGGCAAGGAGGTGCACTGCCGCGGCCAAGGGACGCTGGGCTCACGCCAGGAAGGGCCCGAGGCTGCTGGGCAGGTGACAGTGGGCAGCAGCAGCTGCTGGAGAGGTGCACTGGCCACTTGATGACTTTAAAGGTGCAGGCTAGCCTCCGAGTACAGCGATTGTATACCAGTAAGAGGTGCAGCTGGCTGAAATACTAAGAGAAAGGATCGGGTATACAGTACACAGGCGGGGCAGGGGTGGGCCGGAGAGTGGTCTCAGAGCCCATGGTGATCCTCCTGTTTCAGCCTCCTAAGTGCTGGGCTTAAAGGCCTGCGACACCACCTCTGGCTCAGAGTGGAGATCTGTGAATATGAATCCATTGGGAAACTCCTGACTTCACACCCATGAGGAGGTGGATAGTTTGTTGTGTATTTCACCTCAAAACTTCTTTAAAAACTGATTTTTTTTTTTTACAGTATCTTGGTGTATCGCCAAAATGCCTGAGCTAGCTGGATGTGGTGGTACAACCCTATAATCCCAGCACTCAGGAGGCTGAGGGATCAAAATCTCTTGTGAGTTCAAGGCCAGCACTGGTAACATAGCGAGACATTTTTTTTTTTTTTTAATCCTGTAAGACTGTCTTGCTAACTCTTAAGTTGACAAGGCTTGGTTGAATTTATGATCCTCCTACCTCAGCCTCCCACTGTTCTAAGGTCACAGAGGTGGGCCATTACCCCCAGCTTATCATCCCTGGCCTTCACCTTCTTTAAACTTTTGTCTTTTTTCCTTTTTATCGGTACCAGGATCAAACTCACGACTGCCTGCTTGCAAGGCAGTCGCTTATGCCGCTGGGCTAAATCCCCAGCCCCAAACTTTTGTCTTTTTGAAACAGTCTCATTATGCAATTCAGGCTGGCCTTGAACTATGGAACCCAGGCTGACTTAAGTCCTGGTGATTCTCCTGCCTCAGCCTCCTGAGTGCCAGGATTATAGGCATTCACTGCCACACTCGATTCAGTTTAAGCCTGGTTGAAAAGTGGAGAATGGGTGAATCCAGGTCAGTCTAAGAAAACCCCCAAGCCAAGGAGGTGCTTCAATGACCCGACTGGCATTTTCACAGCCCTTGAAGCCCTCAAGGCCAGGGTCCTAATACTGAAGACAGGACTGGGGCAGGAATTAGGAGACCCAGTGCCTACAGCCACACTCCAGCTGCATCCAAGTGGCCTGGGACCATATCCTGAAGGAGAGGACCAGGAAATGACCACCTGGTTCTATTCTACACCTGGAGATGTTGGAGCCTGAGTATCAAAATTGGCAGTGCCAAGTTTGAGGGGCACACACTCAGCCCACCCATTCCATCAGTTCCCTCCAGCCTGGTACAGAAGTGCAAGAGGCAAGACTGCAAATCAGAGCCCAGCCATATCAAACGTGCAGGGATGTGGCTCAGTGGGGAGGCCCTGGGTTCAGGCCCCCGCTCTAGAAAAAAAATAAAGCCCGTGGTTTTCCCCATCGTGTCCTCTTCGAATTGAGCTACTCAAGTTTGTACTTTAGCCCTGACGCATAGCACACATTGGTGCTGATGTGAGTTTTCTGCCTTGTCATCAGGCTTCCCCGAGGCTTCTGCCCCAAGCTGGCAACCTGGACTGGGCTTCACCAAGTCAGTTTAGGAGGCAGAAGCGGCCTGCACAGAATGGTGCCCACCTCACCATCGGAGGACATGGTGCCCTGCCCCAGCACTGCCTTTATTCTGAAACACTCGGAGTCACTCTAATAGGGCCCCAGCTTTATTTAACACATGGGACACATGCCTGAACCCCAGCATAGACAGCCACTTTACAACAGGAAGAGCGAATTCCCTCACAGAGAACAAACCCACAGCTAGGGGTTGCTGAGGCCTGCATTTGTGGGCAGCAACCTGCCCCATGACCCTCTAGAGGGACTTGTCCCTCCAGAGGATCCTGTCCCTTAATCCAAGCCACCAATGCACAGTGAAACTCTGTGAATTGTCTTCTTTATCCCAAGTACCACTGTTTTTGTCTTTTGGGGGGTTTTTTTCCTTCTTTTTCATTTAGTTTTGGTTTCTTGAGACGAGGTCTCACCACGTAGTCCAGGGTCACAGGCATCCACAGGCCTGGCAAACTCCCTTTCTCTCCTTCTCACCTGTTCTCCTGAGTGGTTTCTCTAGTCCCAGATCATTGCTTCCATTTTCTCTGAGTCCTAAAGTCTCCTGACACCCAGGAGGTAATATAATGGCTCGAACAGTTTATCTGAAATTTGTTCCAGTAAGAGACACATAAAGGAGACTACAGCCCACTGCACAAAAAAACAGACTGTAAGGGGGGCCCAGAGCATCACGCCGCCATCCCAGTTCATCTCCCTGGAGCAATAATCAAATCTATAGTAATAAATCTACAGTAACAGTGTCTACAATAAGTCTACAATAAATCTACAATAATGAAATCTACAATAAAATCTACAGTAGTAAAATATACAATAAGCCTACACTAACAAATCTACACAATCTACAGTAATAAATCTACAATAAAACCAATGATGCTGATCCCAACCCCTGGCACTCGGTGAAGGCAGCCCTGCATGGCCACGACGGGCTCAGTGCACTCCACACTGCAGATCAGGTGGCTGAGGCCTTCGGTTGAGGCCTTGGAAGATCAGCCACCAGGTCCCGCCTCTGCGGCCACCTGCAGGACACCTGTCCTGCTAACTGTGCGAATGGGCTCCACAGTCTGCAGGGACCGCTTGAGTGGAGATTCTCAGACTAAGACTCGAGTGAGGCACTGGCTGCTGTAACAGACACTGGCCCCCAAAGTACTGTCCCACTCCATCCGGCCTAGGAGACTTGGCGGAGAATCCTGTCCCTGCCAGCTGGCCCCAGGGCACTCAGTCCCCTCCTGCTGGCATCATAGACGCATCCAAGAGCAACATGCAGAAGTCATTTTACAATCCTCCTTCACCACCTTGCTGACTGTTACACGAGGAAATACTGCAGCGCAGCAGTGAGCAGCAGCCCAAGTCATGCCGGCCGTCCAGATCATCCTGGTGCTCTTCGAGGCTGAGGTGGGAGGACTGCAAGTGTGGACTCGCCTGGGCAGCTCAGTGACTCATGAGGTTCTGCTCAACAAAGGAGCCGACCTGAGCTTGATCCCCCAAACCAGGATCAAAGAGTAAGTCATGGGCCCCACAACAGGTGCCACTGCCTGGCAAGGCCCCCAAACGCTGTCCCAGCCACGGCTTTGGACTGAGGCCCAAAGCGCGGGCTCCTACTCCACCTCCCATGGCTAGGACCTAGACGGCTCGGGCGCAGAGCCCTCCTGGTGTCCGGCCTTGGCGTGGACCCTGCAGTGGCGCTTCATGGTGCCCAGCTGGCGAAAGGCCAGTCCGCACACGGGGCACAGGTAGGGCTTGGCCTGTGTGTGGATGCGCGTGTGCACATTGAGGTTCCCGCGGTGGCTGAAGCTCTTGCCGCAGTGCTTGCAGGCGTAGGGCTGCTCGCGGGTGTGCACACGCATGTGGCCCAGCAGCGTGGACTCGTGTGTGAAGGCCTTGGGGCACAGGCGGCAGCGGAAGGGCCGCTCGCCGGTATGGATGCGCCGGTGCACACGCAGGTCGGACAGCTGCATGAAGCCCTTGTGGCACTGGTCACAGCTGAAGGGCCGCTCGCCCGTGTGTGACCGCTGATGGATGACCAGCTGCGAGCGATACTGGAAAGCCCTGCCGCACACCCCACACCTGTGCGCCGCAGGCCCCAGGGCTTCCTGGCGCCCCCCAATCACCCTGTCTAGCCCAGCGCCTCCCTGGGGACGGGCTGGGCACAGGTTCTGGGCCGAGCTCCTCCTCCTCCTGGGGGTGTTTCTTCCAGGTGCAGCCTCCAAGCGGCCTCTTCTTTCAGGAGCCCGGGTGTCTGCGGCAGAGCCAGGGGCTGCCTCCTCTTGATCCTCCTCTCGATTCTTTCGCTTCCTGTGCTCTCCCTCCTCAGCGGAGGCGGAGATGTCCTCTTCTCGGGGCTCCCTGTCGTCCAGTGTCACTGCAGAACCTGCTGGGGAAGGGCAGGTCAGCATTTTTTTTTTTTTTTGGAAACTGCGTTTGACTTTTAAATCGTGTTCATAAAGCACTGCAGCTTGGTGGCCATGTGATTAGGAAAAGTCATCTCAAAAGCCCCTTTTGTTTTTCTAAGGAATCGTGAAGAAGACGCAGCCCAGCCTAACAGGACAGGGGTCTCTAACAGTTGGGCTTTGAGTTAAGGAAGGCTCACAGTCTCGCTCCTTGCCTGGGAATACCAAGGGCTGCTGTCGACAAGTGATGTGCGCACACGCAAAGGCAAAGAACCATGTGAAAGTAACCAGCTGTGTCGCTCTTACACTGGAGGACATGCAGGTGCTCTTGTTGCATCCCTGCCACCCAGACCCGGGTAACACATGCAGTCCAAATGAACTCAGAGCATCTGCAGGTGGCTGCCAGGAACCTAGAAACTTCCTACCCTAACCCTTCGGGGAACATGGGGGCCACTCTGCAGGTCTGAGCCCACAGCAGGGGCAGGTGACTGGTAGGGACCCTGGCGGAGCAGCCCTGTGCCTAGGGGTCCCCGTGCCCCTACTCACCCACAGCCAATGGGAGCAGAGGCTCTAGGGGCTCTGGTGCTGATGCTGGCACCTCCTCCCCATCCTCTCGTTGTGCCTGGTCCCCTTCCTCTCGTTGGGCCTGGTCCCCTTTCTCGGGTGTCATCTTTGGTAGGGTAGCCTTTCGCTGTGGGTAGGGAACACACAGAATCACAGGTCTCGGTTAGGGAGCTGCTTACCTCCCTAAGCCTCCTGGGGTGCCCAAAAACACCCTTGCTGCCCCCCGGGTTTGCCTTAACCTGTAACTGCCACCCCCAGTCACATCTGTGCCCTAAACTGCTCTCCCCCACCCTTGCACCCGTCACCCAGCATCCCGGCATCTCCCCATCAGCTTCTCCCCATCTACTCCTCAAGCTGGATGCCGGCTGAGGTTCCTCTGCCCTGGGAAGGGCAACCCAAAGCCACCTCAGGATGATCCCAGCACTCTGTGGGGGTTGAGCAACCCCACTTGGGGCCACAGAATTAACAAATTTCCAAAAATGACCTGCGTGGCAGGCTATGCTACGAAACAATCTTAGAAGATGCTGGCTAGAGGCACCAAGTCTGTCACCATGGCCATTGACTGGCCTGACACCCAGGGACGTAGGACATTCACCTGGGTCCCCGCTGACCCCCCGACCCCTGCCAGGTCCTGCAGTTGTGGGCTGAGCGGGCTCTGGTGGGGCTGGGCTGCACCCTCTGAGCACCGGCGTGTGGTAGACAAGTTGATGGTGCTGCTTCTCCTGTCCATCTCCATGTCTGCATTGTGCACAAGAAACTTCTGTCCTTGGTAGATGACGATGGACTGTGGGAGACACCACCAGAACTGTGGTCAGAACCTGTGGGGGGACCCAGACCTGTGATCTTGACTCCTCCCAGTGACTGCATGGCCAGCGTCTGCTGCCTGGACACCAACATGCTGGGGCCACCACAGCCCAGCCACCACTTCTACCATCCCAGCTCCTGTCGATGTGCCCAGTATTTGAGAGTTACAGAACAGTGCCATTTGGATGTCAGGGTCCCCAAACCTAGAGGAAAGAGAAGATGAACATTTCTGCTCCATGCAACCCATGTGCCCAGGGCATTTCCCAGCCCTGGGTGTGGAAGGGCTCACAGAGATCCCCACCCCATCGCCCTGGCCTGCCCTCTTCCTGCCAGCACCACTGCTTCCCCCAGCCCTGGCACTAGTCCCATGGTTGTACACCAGTCTCAACCCAGCGTCTCAGACTTGACGCCCTCTCTGGTGGGGCCCTGAGCCTGAAGGGTGCTGGGAAGCTGTGCCATCTCTGCCCTTAGCCACCCACCCCTAGGTGCTAGAAGCCCTGTGTCCCCAGGCTGGGACAGACGCCCCCACCCGGGCAAGCCTGCCCTTCCCAGCACTGCTCCAGACTGAGGTCAGGCCCTTGCCTGTTTATTTCTCCTTAATGGGTTAAAAATCAAAACTTCACAGCCAGGCAAGTGAGGCACACCTGCAATCCCAGGATTTGAGAGGCTGAGGCAGGAGGCTCACAGGTTTGAACTCTGCCTGGCAGCTTAGTAACTTGGGGAGACCCTGTTACTAAAATGAAAAGAGGGCTGGGATACAGCTTCGTGCAAAGGGTCTGGGTGCCACCCCCGTACCACAAGTAAAAAACCTCAAGAAACAGCCCTGCTCCAGCCCTGAAGAGCTGCCTGAGGCTGACCTGGGACGTGGACTGGCGGGACTCAGCCTCAATGCGGCACATGCAGGGACCCATCCTGGGCCTGCTGGGCTAGTGGCAGCATTTCTGGCCTCCATCCCCCAGAGACAAGGGTGCCTCCCCGAGACAGGGGCCCCTCAGGTGTCACCGACCCCAGTCCTGCTCACCGACTGCACAGGCCTCCCTCGGCCCTGCAGCATCTCCTCCAGGTCCCTGCGGCTCCGCACGCTGCCCTCCCGGATCAGGACCTGCAGCTCCTCCGGCGCTGAGATCAACAGCTGCTCCAGTACCAGCTGCTCCAGGATCTGCTCCTTGGAGTGCAGGTCAGGCCGCAACCAGCGATGGCACAATTCCGACAGCTCCTGCAGCTGGCGCACGGGGTCTGAGCCATTCCAGCGGAAGGCCCTGAAGTGCAGGTGCCACTTTTCAGGGTCCTCCTCCTGCCTGCCTTGATCCCAGGGACCCCGGTGGTGCTTGGCTGAGGGGAGGGCAGACTCCTGCCTGGGTGACATCTGCCGGGCCAGAATCCCTCTGCCGCAATTAGGAAGGCTGCAGGGAAGGAAGCACAGGTCGGTGCCACCATCCCATCCGGCCTTCCCGCCCTTCTGAACCCCTCATCCTCCAGTGCCTCCCTCCCGCAGACACACGCACCGCTGGACAGGGCCCTCCCTGACCACAAACACGCCCAGCTTCCCACCCCAAAATGGGAGCTGTTCCTGTCCGGAGAGCAAAGGGCACTCCTAAAATCCAAAGCCACAACAACATCTGAGGGGTTTCTCGTGGGTACTGGGACTGAACCCAGAGCCTCCCTGCGGAGCTGCACCCCAGCCCATTACTGTTTATTCTCCGACTTATCCTGGTAAGTCGCTGAATTGCCCGGGCTATGCTCACACTTGGACTCCTGCCTCAGCCTCCCAGAGCGCTCGGATCACAGCAAAACAAAGCAATACTGGGCACCTTAATCTCATGTTTCTGTGTGCATTTCCTCCTTGGCCCAACGACATTTATGTGCTCTGGGAAGACAGCACAATGAGTCACTGAGGCCTGCCTGGGCTACACAGCAAGACCCTGTCTCAAGAAACAAACAAGCAAAGGAAAAACACCACCAGAGACAGACTCTAACCCAGGCGTTTCCCTACCGCAGTAACACTGAAACGCACTCAACGTAAAATTCACTATCTTCTCCTCTCAAAGCGTGCAGATTATGGGCATAAGAACACCATAAACCAAGGATCCGGAGGCAAAGGTAGGACAACCCCAAATTCAAGCCAACTTCCATACATAGAGAGGGAAAGGAGGACTGCAGAGAAGACGGGATTGGGAATAAACAGAACAAGAGGAGATGGCGCACGGGTCCACCCTCCCCAGGATAAAACTGGACATTGAGGAAAGGCCCCGTTTCAGCCCCCAAGGCCGCGAGCACACGCACACTTCAAGGGAGCTAAACCTGCAAACCCTGGTTTAAAATCCAACGCGAGGGCGGCACAAACCACGGCCGCGGACAGCCCCTGAGCTCGGAGGTACTGCAAAGGTCCGCACCCCAAACTCACCTGGCCGTGGCCTCCGCAGAGAGTCGCTGGCCGCACTGGAAGTTCATATCGCGTCCCCTCTGCCTGACGCTGTGTAGCAAGTGGACCACGACGCCGCTATTTATAGGGCCCGCCCTGTGCCCAGTCCGCTCTGGGATTGGTTCCGCCCAGAATGCCCGCGCTAATGATACGCCATCCCCGCGAGGCCCCGCCCAGAGCACACTAATGATTGGACACGTCTGCTCTGGAGACACTTGTGGCCCACCTCGGCCACGTGCTGCGTGCTCGAGGCGGGAAGCTCTGCGCCCCAGCGAGGGCGACCCCTGCCTGTTTAGTTTATAGTTTATAGTTTATAGTTTAGTTTATAGTTTATAGTTGGGTGGGGCTTGTGTTTCATTTACTACAGATGCATCCAGCAAGATTTCGTTTCAAATAAACTGAAAGACATGCACCAGTAATCCCAGCAATAGGGAGGCTGAGGCAGGAGGAACGCAAATATGAGCTCAGCCTGGGCAATTTAGGGATACTGTCTCTCTCAACAAAATAAATGAGCCGGGTGTGGTGGTGCACGCCTGTAATCCCAAGCACTTGGGAGGCTGAGGCAGGAGAATCACCACAATTTTGAGGCCAGCCTGCACTACACAGTGAGACTATTTCAAAAAGTGAAGTATAAATTTTAAAAATTTAATGTAGATTGGAAGGATGTTGGTTTTAGGCTGATTCTGGTTTAAATTCATAGGGAAAAAATACTTTTTCTCTGCATTAGAGATGCAATTCAGGGATGCTGATGAGCGAGCCAGCCTGGCCTTGAACTCTTTGTCTCTGTGATCCTCCTGCCTCAGCCTCCTGAGTGCTAAGATTACAGGGATGTGCCACCACGCCTAGTTTACTTTTCTTTTGAGGCAGACTCTTGCTAATTTACTCTGCTTGGGCTCATATTTACACTTTTCTGACCTCAGCCTCCTGAGTGCTGGGCTTATGGGCGTGCACTGTCCCGCCTGGTTTAAATCATGGGGAGCTCAATCCTGTGAGATCTAGCTGCTGTCAGCAGAATCCAGGAGCCAGCACCGCCCCAGGGTCAAGCAAGGCCAAAACGGCAACGCAGGTGCCGCAAGATCCTATTGAGAACAGGCCTCGAGCCAGGCTCTGTGGTGCGGGACAGAACCCGGGCAGCTGCGGAGGCAGAGGGGAGACTGAGGTCTGAGTCCGTTCTGGGGCACATGGAGACTGTGGTCCCCAGTGGACGCCCAGAAAGTACCACCTACCCTCACCCCGAGCTCCTGCTCAGGCTTGGCACCTTCCTCCCTGGTACCACCTAGAAAAAGGCTTTCCTGGAAAGCACCTTTCCTGACCTATAATTGACAAAAATCATATGCATTAAGGATGTAAAATTTGATTCTTAAAGTTAGTTTTTCTTTCCAGGCAGCATCTTGCTATATAGTATAGGCTGACCTTGAACTCAGAGCAATCCTCCTGCTTCAGCCTCCCGAATGCTGGGATTATAGGCATACAACACCATGCTAAGAGTAGGTTTTTGTAGGGAGCGGTTGAAGCTGGAGGTTGATCGCATGTGTGGGGCTAAGCAAGGCCAGCCCAGAAAAAACAGAGAGACCAAAACAAGCTAGTAAAGAAGTTGTTCCTGCATCAAGAAGACAAGTGGCCCAGGCCTGCCAAGCAATGGGGTGCTAGGCATAGGAGCTAAAATTGACATCATCTTTCCCAGTGTATAAATAAAGGTGCTACAGTGGTTGAGCAGTTCTTTCCTCCCATCAGGAGGACCCCAGTCCTATCTTTTCTTTATTTTTCTCATCCACTCGTGGTCCTTAACCTCAAGAACCTCAGGAGCCACACTGGGTTGAGGCGGGTTTTAAATGTTATTACCACCCACAAATTACAAACTAGAGGAACAGTGAGCCCTTAACCAGTCTGATTTAACCCTTTTACAATGTTCACATACGCCAAAGTGTAGCCATGCACCCCATATTATGTACAATCACCATCTGCCAGCATATTTTCAGCATTTGGGGTTACTGATGGAGATCATGACTGGAACCAAGCCAAGCGGGCTAGCATATTGCACCCAGCAGGCTCTTCTTCCCCCTCTCTGTGTCTTTTCTTTTCTGTCTGTGCATGCGCAGCAGGAACCCCTAGGTCCCTACCTTGTAGCGGATTGGGGTTGGGGTGCATGCACAGTGGGGCCCTTCACTCTCGGGGATAGGTGTGGAGACCCCAGTGGGTGCCTGAGACCTGCACCCCACAGCGTGAGCACACACACATGTGCATGCACCCCAGTCCCCAGGTCCCCCCATACCACGCCTGCTCACACCTCTCACCCCTGTTCCCCCAGGCCTCCACCGCCCCACACCTCTGCCCTGAGCCCTGAATTCATACATCTGGTCTGATTCCCAACTCAACCACAGGCAGAAAGGACATCTAAGGCCAGCAGCCCCAAAGCCAGCCAGGCTGGATGCATCCCTGGCTGCTGCACCCCAACCTAGGACCCAGGAGCCCCTCAGCACTACTGCAGGCTCTGTGACATCCCACCGCTGGGGCCCCTGATGCGAGCTGCAGAGCAGCAGGAGTTGGGGTCTGGGGTCTGTCTTGTTGGCTGCTGTCCCCAAGACCCCTAGACGAGTGCTGATTACACAGACCAAGAAGCGGTCAGCACTGCGGACTCCACGACTGTCCCTCCGCTCGCCCTCAGTGACTTGAAGGTCACCATCTAAGGCAAGTGATGCCTGCTCCCAGGAGAGACAGGCGCTGTCCACCCCAGGTTCTGCTGGTCTCTTCACTGGCCCTGAGGGAAGCTCTGGCCCCGAGCTTTTGGCCCTTTCTTGTCACATGGCCACGCGTCACCAGGAGCCAAGGAAGCAGCCGGTCCTCCTCCTGGCCCCTGTGCAGAGGAGTCCCCAGGCCTGAACCAGGGAGCTGAGCTGACCCCCAGCCCTCTTGCTCTTGAGTCAGGAGTGCCCTGAGTTGCCCAGGCCAGGCTTGAGCCCAAAATCCTCCTGACTCAGGCTCCCGAGTAGCTGGGTCTCTCGGCCCCTGCCCCACACCTGGCTTCCCCCACACTCTTCCTGGGGACAGCACAGGCCCCCTGGCCAGGGCCCTGTCCCCTTCCAGTGCCACCCGCGCTCACAGTGCAGGCTGTGTGGGGCTCAGGGAGTTCGGGAACTGCTGAGTCCCTCCAACCTCGCAGCCCAGCGTCTGAGCACCCCACTTTCATGTGCCGTGAGCCTGGTCACCCTGCGGGGCCTCAGACCCCCCTCTCCACCAGAGGCCTGGAGCCTGGTATGGGGGGGCCACCTCTCCCTCCACTTCGCCCCACTGAGTGCCTGGATGGGCCTGGGCCGCAGGCCAGGGAGGGGGGTGCTACAGCCAACCTCTGCCACAAAGCAGTGTCCAGCCTCCCTGGGGCCACGGGTACCTGTGCTGTTCCAGGCAGAGTGTACATCTGTAACCCTAGCCTTCAGGGAGGTTGAGGCAGGAGGATCATTAGTCCCACAGCCCAGCCTGGGCAGCTTGGTGACCTAGCAAGACCCCTTCTCAGACTAACGGGACTGGGGGTGCAGCTCAGTGTGAAGGACCTGGGCTCAGAGCCTGCCAGCTCTCCACAGACCCCTCCTCAGCCCCCAATGCTGGGTGCTGCTGGGGCCCCGTGAGAGCTGCAGGTTGCCTTCCTGACCTTCGGGCTAGGCGGATGCTAGTTGTCCTGAATGGTATCATGTGGGTGGTATGTTATGCAGTGACCAGCACCTGAACCAGGCTGAGGCAGGAGGGTTAGGTCGGGACCTGGGGCACCGACAGTGCAGCTTTGAGGTATGCAGAAGGGCAGGATTGGGTCAGGCTCCGGGTTTGGACACCGCCAGGAGCTGGGGGCTCTGCCCAGGTTACCCCAAATCCCAGCCTCCAAGGCCACATGGCCCCAGCGCCCACCCCAGTCCCATGTCCTTGGTTTTGCTCTCCAGTGTGGAAGAGGAAGGGGAAGAGGAGGACAGGGCAATCAGAGCCAAGTGCCCTCCCTGTGCGACTGCGGCAGGGGCAGACGTGTCCCCGAACCACGCTCTGCCACCCTGGGTCTGGCCTGTGGCCCAGGGACTCTCAGATCTGTCAGGAACACCGCACCCTGTCCAGTGCGGAGGGGGGTCACCTCTGGGGCTCCACACCACCTCCTGGGAAAGCAGTTTAGCTCAGGGTCTCCACTGCCCTCAAGAGGCTATGGGATCCGGGGAGAGAGCGGCTTGGGCGGGGTACACATGGGCTCCCCCCCAGGGGCTCCACCAGCACTGAGGCGGCATCCTTGCTAGTCACAGACCCTCCTTGCTAGTCGCAGACCCTACGGTGTTTCCCTCCTCTCCTCTTCTTTTTCTGTTCTGCGTTCTGTTTGCTCTCCTCTTCCTCATGGCTTCCTTTCTACTCCCATTGTAGAGTGGTATGGCCTGGTGTGGGGATGCAGCCTGTAACGCCAGCTCTCAGGAAGTTGAGGCAGGAGGATTGTCATGAGTTTAAGGTCACTCTGGGCTATATAGTGGGTTCAAGGCAAGCCTGAAGTACATACTGAGACTCTGTCTCAAGAAGACAAGAAATAGGGCTGGGGATATAGCCCAGTGGCATAAGCATCTGCTTGGCAAACTTAAGGTCCTGAGTTCGATTCCCAGTACCAAAAAAAAAAGATGAAAATAATGTCCAGGAGAAACTGACAGAGGGGACCACTAAACTGACTTCTTTCTCCTTTCCTTCTCTTTTCATTGCTGGAGAGCATAGAGCCAGGGCTTCTGCACTGAGCTCCCCCACAGCCCTTTCTCTTTACAGACAAGGTCTTGCCAAATTGCCCACCTTGCGATCCTCCTGCCTCAGCCTCCCAGGGCTCTGGGCTCACAGGTGTGCACCTCTGTGTGGCGTGAGGAGTTGGCCATGTGGAGCCCTGGACACAGCAAGGAGGCCCTTTGGGGTGAAGGCGGAAGTGCAGACGAGCTGGATTTCGGGGAGACCTTGGGGACTGGGTTTAGGGCCAGGATCAGAGGGGAGGGTGGGGCAGGGATGGGGTGGCATTGGGGGGTGAAGCGAC